TCTGTTGTCGTTGATTTGGGGACCTGGCATGGGCTGTTCTCTGGGGCTGTGTTACTAAATGGGGGTTCCCGCTGACCCGAGGGCTGGGTGTTCCTGTGAGCTCACCTGTAACTCTATATGTGGGAGGGGGGTGAATGGTGTGTTTGGGGGGGTGACTGCAGGGGCTCAGCCCTGAGGGACAAACCCGCAGGCCAGACACCTCCACGCCAGACTGGGGGCAGGGAGCAGGAGAGGTGGCCATGGCTTGGGGAACTGGGAGCAGCCGGTTGCTGCTACGTCTACAGAATGCTCTCTTGGGGTCCCTCCCTAGACTGGACACAGTCTGTGTCCCCCCGCTGCCCCGCCTCTCGTCCGTCTGCCCACTCACTGACCTGCGCACCCCCCAGCCCATGTCTCTCCTTCGTGAGTCTGTTGGCCCCTGACCGTGCCCCCTGTGTCCACAGCCGAGCTGGAGTTTGTGCAGATCCTGGTCATCGTGGTAGTGATGATGGTCATGGTGGTGGTCATCACGTGCCTGCTGAGCCACTACAAGCTGTCCGCCCGCTCGCTCATCAGCCGCCACAGCCAGGCCCGCCAGAGGGAGGATGCCCTGTCCTCGGTGAGTGTCCCTCCCTCAGGGGCCCCCACGGGGACGAGGGGTGGGGAGAGAGGCGCAGCCACACACTCACACCACGCATCTGCTGCGTGCCAGGCACTGTCCTGGGCACTGGGGACAGGTGGGGACAGGGCCGGAACCGGCCTCGGGAGGAGACAGTGGATGCCGAGGTGGGCCTGCAGGGACCGTGGTGAAGAGAATGAGTGAGGGGTGTAATGCTTCCGAGCTGGGCGGTTTGTCTTCACCTGGATCAGGTGTGCTGAGTGCCTGGCACCTGGGGCAGGTGATGGAGGAGACGGTGTTGAGGAGGAGGGGACGGAGACGGAGATGGAGCCAGCATGCAGTTTCCCAGTCCTGATGCAACGGGACCCAGTGGGTCAGGGAGGCTCGGCCCCACCCCCACCAATGCCCCGCAGGGCAGTGAGTCACATGGTCCTGGGGTCCTGAGTTTAACTCCACCTCCACCAGCTCTGGCTGTATGCACATCCCCTCCTTTGATTGTCCACAAGTCAGGGGCTGATGACCAAGACCACCTCCCTGTGATTCATAGAGTGTAGGCCAAGCATGCCGGCTTAGACCGGGTCATGTCACCCACCCATCCAGTCACCCAGTCTTTTACTCATGCATTAAGACACCCACTCGCCCGCCTACCCACCCTTTCACCCATCATATTCCATTCACCCGTACTTATATTCACCCACGCATTCAACACCCACCCACCCATTCACCCACTCTTCCACCCATCATATTCCATTCACCCAATCTTTACCCATGCATTAATACACTCACTCACCCAACCTTTCACCGATCATATTCCATCCACCCATCTATAAACCCACTCATTCATACACCCACCCATCCACCATTCCACCTACTCATATATTCACCTCCATCCGCCCACCCACCCATCCACTTCTCCTTTTAACTACCCATTTGCCCATCTGTCCATTCATCCACTCATCCATTTAGCCACATTTCATTCCTATATTCACTTGCTTATTACTACATCCATCCACCCACCCACCCACCCACCCATCCATCCATCTTCCCGTTTACCCATCCATCCATCTATCCATCTATCCACCCACCCATCCATTTATCCACCCACCCACCTATCCGTCCATCTGCCTGTTCACCCATCCGTTCATTTACTTCCTTATCCAGCCAGCCACATTCTGCCCATTCATATACTCATCTCCCCACCCATGCCCCCCTCTTCCGTCTCTCTCATCCATCCCCATGACAGATGCCCATCCCGCATCCCCTGTGCCTAGAAAACCATTGAGCCTGAGCAAGCCCCTGGGGCCGCTGCCCTGGGGAAGGAGGTCTAGACACAGCCAGGCTCCAGATGACAGGGGCTATGGCTCAGAGGCCTCTCCCAGATAGTTCGGCCAGGCTCTGAGAGACGAATAGCAGTTAGCTGCAGGGGGAAAGGCCGGGAGGTGCGGAGGGGGGTGGGATGGGGGTCAGGAAGGGTAAGGAAAAGGGTCAGACACCATAGTGAAGGGATCTCTGTTATCATGAGACTACATTTTCACAAGTATTAGAAGCCCCCAAGACCCCCAGAGCTCCCTAGATGCAACTCAGGGCCCAGGTTGGGTCACCAGGTGGCAGAAACTTGCCTCCCTCAGACTCCACCCCTGATCCTCTGCCCTGCAGGCTGACCCCTGCCCCACGCCAGTGAGCACAGAGGGAGGAGGCAGACTTGAGCCCTGAGTGGTTCCCATTGCCTCACTAGGCTGGGGTATGGGGTGAGGGCTGGCATGCGGGTTCCCAGAGCCACGGCAGCTCCCTGAGGCTGTGAGGGCAGTGCCAGGTTACCCAGGAAGCCTGGTGCCGCAGACCTGTCCCTGGCAGGTCTGGGCACTTCTGTTCATCAGACCTAGCCTCCGTGCCTCCATGCGTCACCGGGGCAAGGGCACCTGCCCGCTGTGCCCCACACTGGAACAGAGTGTCCAAGGCTCTGGGCCTCCTCTGGGCTGCACCTGCCACGGTGGCCATGTTACTGGGAGGTTGTGTTTGGGGAGAGGCAGACAGGCACTTAGTGGGGGTGTGAGCCTCAGTGCTCAC